TGGTTGCTCGCCGCTCTGCGGAGTGCCACGGCGCGGCGCTTCAAGCAACTATTTCGCAACGGAGGTGTTGCACAGTATCACAAGAAACTGAAGGCGCTCTAACGCATCAAGTCAGATAGGCATCCTTTAAGAGCACGAGCTTTGCTCATCAAATGCGCCTTTTTCCGCAGATCGTGGATTCCACCGGACTCGTGGAGCTTTTGCGACCTGCAAATCCCGCTCTGAGGGTCATTTCTATGGGAACTAATTTGGTTTTAGCCCGATTGAAGAACTTTCGTTTTTGACCCCGAAAATGGGTCCGTTGCTAGCAAGAGACACAGCCAACTGAATATATTATTCAAGGGAAAATTCGCTCAAAAATCACGGAAGGCACATCAAAATAGTCTCAAATCCGCTCCTTGACGCGCAATTTGCGTAGTTTGTAACACGCTTTTCCAAACTTACCTCCCACCTATGCGGACAGTTTTGCTTGATGGCTGACGGTCAGGCTTGTCCGAAAAGAGACCTAAACCCTAAATAAATAAACAATCCTGCAAACTGTTATAAACTCTATCCTTGTGGAAGAGTTCAATTGATTCAAAGCTTTCGTTTTTGCAAAACAAAGAAAGGAAAAGGAAACAATTGCTTGAATACAAATGAAATCATAGAAAGGAAAAAGTTAGTCAATCCTTTGTTTATTTGGGTACATCCTTCTCACTCCTCTGCCTGTGCAAACCTGTTTGGCGGAAACTAAGAAAAACTGCCCGGAAACGCGGAAAACTTGAAAAAGCGGGTTACAAACTGCGCAAAATGCGCGCTAAGGTGAGGATTTCGGACTTTTTTGATGTTCGAAACGTAATTTTCGAGCAAATTTACCTACAATTAATGTGTTCCGTCGGCTGTATCTTTTCATGCAACAAATCCATTCACGCCGTGGTACCAATGTCACTGTTGATTTTTCTCGATCATAAAAAAGAATAAAAATCTCGAGATTAGTGTTGAATCCTAAGTAGTAGGCTATGTTGAAGAAGTAGATCCTAAGCCCTGAATCGATTGCGCGTGGTCCTGAGGCTCCACGCGCGATTCACCGGGCTCGTGAAGCTTTTCTGACCAGAAAATCCCACTTACAACGGACCACTAGACAAGGTACGAATTTCAGCATTCTGATTCGTGTTTCTTCACCAAAATTTCACGTAAAACACGATGCGCACAACGAAAATTACCGAAATCAACTCCTTCCGAAGATATTTAATGATTCTTGGTGCGTGAATTGAAACCAACCGCTCATGAAAACTCAATGCTCTAGGTACGTGATTCACATCTCGCGCTAAACGTTATCATGACAGTCTCTGTGATGGCAACCTCAATCTTGACGCTTTGACTCCGCTATAGCAAATTACTCATAGTTTGAAAAACAAATGGTGGGAAATGAACATTGCTCGATTGAGAAGCTTGCTGAAACCGTTGTAGTGTGCGATTTGACTCACGTGGAGCTTTGAGTTTCTTGTGAGCGGGCAGTTCCAATTCCTCGTAACCAATGTGAAATAAAAATGTTAATATCTCCATTAGGAGTTGGTTTCAGTAATTTTCGTTGCGCGAATCGTGTTTTACGTAAAATTCTGATTAAAAAACATGTATCAGAATGCTTAAAGTCGTACCTTATCAAGTTGTCCATTAGATGGTCATTCGGCGGCGTGCTGGCGCCTACAAACCTAACAGGAATACTTCACGCATTGCGCAATGCGTGAAGCATCCCTGTTAGGTTTGTAGGCGCCGATGCGCCTGGTTGCCCGCCGCACTGCGGAGTGCCACGGCGCTTCAAGCAACTATTTCGCAACGGAGGTGTTGCACAGTATCATAAGAAATTGAAGGCGCTCTAACGCTTCAAGTCAGACAGGCATCCTTTAAGAGCACGAGCTTTCCTTGCAAAATAAATCAATATAACAGCGCACAAAAGAGAGCCGTACTCCAAAAAACTCACTAAGTCCTGACATCCGTCTTTAATAACGTTTAGCATAATTTTTGAATTTCATTAGAGAAAAAAGTGACTCGATTTCGGCAGACAACTTATTCTTAAGTAGGTATGCCGTCAGGAAGATTTCATTTTGAACCAAGAATAAAATAGCTGAACGAAAGCAGGTTTCTGCCTGATGTAAGTGACTTTTCTTCTCATATAAGCTTACTTTCTTCTTTACACGAGCATTATTTTCTTTATTGATTCATAAGAAAATCTTCTCGGAAGTAAATTTGATCATAATTCTGCTCACATCAAGTCACTTTTTCCTCTAATGAAGTTCAAAAATCATGCTAAACGCTACTGAATATGGATACCAGGACTTGGTAAGTTTTTCGACTATCGCTCCCTTTTCGTCGTCGTCACTCGATTTAATTTGCGAGGGAACACCGTGCTTTTGAAAGATGCCATCGAGCCTGATACGTTGAGTTGCCTTCAATCTCGTATGATACTATGCAACACCTCCGAGGCGAAACAGTTGCTGCGCCGTCGCGAAGTTATCGTACACATCGATTTTTTTCGATTAACTATAGTCTCTTGCTGGCAGATAGACGACCAATTCAGCAACACATTTTACAGCTAAGTCAAAACTGTCAAAAATCAAGATTCGCACCTCTGCACTTTCATCGTCCGCACTATATCCATTGCAGTATGTTCCTTTTTCAAAAAGCTGGCACGGTCAGATTGGTTGTATTGCCAGTCAAAAAATGTATGTAGAAAAGTCTACGTATGCCTCATCGAGATGCGCCCACAAAATTTCGGTGAGAGACAATCGCTTCGAGCCAGGACTTCACTTTCAAGGGAATAAAACACCAGAGGAGGTTCGGCATCGTGCAGTACAGTTATAGGCTAATTCTAGTCATTCCTGACCAATTTATTCCTACTCACGTCAGACACGGAGCAGTGGCGTGGCGTGAATTGCGATATATCGATTGTTATGCCATTTAAACCTATGGAAAAAGATCGATTATCAGGGTGTTCGCAGCGAACACCTTAGTAATAGATTCTTTACTATAGCTTCAAATGGCGATATATCGATAATCGATCTTTCACGCCACGCCACTCACGGAGAACGTTTACTACAATTAGTTCCGTCGCCACGCTCCGCGACTAAGAAAGAACGCCGTATGAGCTTTTAGCCGTTGACATAATTCCTGGCCTAAAAAACGAATTCACAGGGAAAATCGGTAGTATTTTTCTTCAAATTTTTCAGACACCTTAGTTCGCGAATTAACCGAACATCTCTAAAAATTTCAAGGAAAAATGCACATTACTTTCCTTGAAAATACATGTTTCATCCGGAGAATTATTGCAACTCTTGAATGTTCAACACGGCTGTATGCCCCCCCCCTTTCAGTTAATGGTGTTTTAAACCNGGGGGGGGGGGGAGGGCAGCACAATACTCACTAATTTCTTGCTTGTCTCCGGAATTTGTAAACAAGCGTTTGACTCAATATTTTACCTTCCCCCTTCACGCGTATCCACTCACATCCATATCTACCACGCACACCTACCATACAGACCCCCCTCCTCTCCAAGAATCACAAGAGGCGACGGCGTTCATTCCTGATTTGGATGATACATTTCAGACGTTTTCAACTGTCCATTGGTGAAATATTTTCATCCTTACTTTATTTTGATACACTGAAAAAAAATCTCGGTGTATTTACTAAGAAAAGGATAATTACCAAGAATTCACGGTTCTATTTGATCCCAGTTTTTTCTTGGTAAAATTACCATTTATGAAATTGGTAATTTTACCGAGAAATATCGGTAAAATTATTGAACTTCCTCAGTAATTTGACTGGACCTTGGTAAAAACGCCAATATTTTTTATATCGACTGTGGTAGAATTACCGAGATAAAATGGCAAAGTTACCCGGAATTGCTTACCAATAAAAGTGGTAATCTTACCTGAAAAAAGCAGTAAAAAACCGGTTTTTAGGTAAGCTTACCAGTCTGTATTGGTAAAATTACCAATAATTGGTAAAAAAGTGAGATGGTAAAGGTACCAACGGACCTTGGTAAAAACGTCGATAATTTTTTTTCAGTGTAGGATTCGGCTCTACGTGGACGTGGATTAATTGGTTCCATATTTTCAGCTACTCGTCATTTTTCTCCAATTTTAAGATCGCAATTCTGTTGTCAGGAAACTAAAGCACTCACTTACCAATTTTAACAAATTTTAACGTAGTTAAGGCGTGGTTTTTTTTTAGAGAAAAAACATCGCATTCGATACTGATATCTAAACTGCACTCGAATGCGATATTTTCTCTCTAAAAAAAACCACGCCTTTACTAAGTTGATTTTCTTCGTTAAAATTGATAAGTGAGCGCTTTAGTCTCCTGACAACAGAATTGCGATCTCAAAATTGGAGGAAAATGACTAGTAGCTGAAAAAATAGAACCAAGTAATACGATTTATTGCATGCCGTTCTAACACAAAATATGACGTCCATCGAATCACCTTAGGGTCTGCAATTCACAAGGAAATTGCACAGATCCCCCCCCCCCCTCACTGTTTGTAAGGGTTGCATGTGTATAGTGTTTCCGGTTAACCGCATTTCCGGTTACCGCCTTTCGAGTGGCAGAGCATTTTTGGCGGTAAATTTGAATCCATTTTCACAGCTTCCTGCCTAGTTTTCCGGCGCGCTGACGCTAATGAAATCGAACTAAACACAATTACCCAATCCTGCATCGATCGGTTCTCTGTTTCTGCATTTCACGGTCTACTTAATTCAACTAGGAGCGAGCCATGTCCCGACGGAATAAATCACACGAAATCATGCTTGACGTCATCCTTGCCCCCCTCCCGCTGAGATGTAGCGGCCACGGCGCCCCACCTATCCTATCACAACATAACCTCACTTGTCAACTTGTGGCTGGCAGTGCATTTATGAGGGGCTATAGTTTTCTCAGGTCTCAATCGATTTGTTTCGGGATTGTAAATTTTTAAGTGCGTGTTTTCTCTCCATAAACAATTTAAAGCTTATCATTTTTTTTACTGATTTGTGTCGCAAGTCGATTCACGAGCTGCTCTGCTGTCAGAATGAAGGAAGCCTCTTGGCTCCAGACTGTCTGAGGAACCCAAGTCCAAGTAAGTTTAATGATAACAAGATAAAGTTCAACTCATCCAATTAGCACTCGTTAATAAGTCTAAGGCCCGAGGCACTCCTCATGATTATTACGCTGTCAAATCGGATGGTCTATAGACTTTGTCAACTCCTCGTCGACCGATCTGTTAACATCTACTCAAAATTTTATCTGTAATCACTGAGACAGTTTTAAAATCTGTGATCTAGGGATGGACGAATATCAAATTTGAATGCGATTATTCGAAACATTTCGAATGCGATTATCTGAGAATTCGAATCTTGCGATGGCGAATACTTCGGAGGCGAATATTCGAATATTTTCGATTATTGCTTCGATTTATGATTTTTTATGAACTGTGAGAGATAAATGACACTTTTAACTAAGACGGTCGGTCATTCCCGTGTGCAGTTGTGGAGGAGTCTTAATTAATAACGAAATTGATGATAGGGATGGACAGTTTTCGAATTCGAATGCGATTATTTGAATATTCGAATGTGATGCGATTTTCTCGGTGCCGATAATTTGGATATCGAATATTCGATTATCTAAATATTCGACCATCCCTACTGTGATCATTGCATTCTAGAGGCTTCTAATTTGAACCTTCAGCTGACAGAATTCGGACAGTTAAATGAGTCTAGTAAACGTATTAATATTTGTCTCTATTCCAGGTCTGTTACGCTGGTTGAACAATGTTGACGCTCTGGTATCTCCTGCTGAGTCTTTCTTCTCTGGCTCCCATGAATCATCTTTAAATCTTGTTTGCGGAGGTTAGTATATACACATCCCATCAAAATTTGTTGGACTTGCCATCTAAGATTATCAAGTAAGGAACAAATCTGGATAAAATGAGTTTGCAATTGGGCGTATTTCTACCAAACAGAATTATGTGCTTTAAGACATGAGCCCTGAGAGTATGTGTATAACAGGGCTCACTTCATAATACACATAGTTCCGTTTGATAGAAATACGTTCATTTGAGACACAAAATGGGGAGGTCGCAAGGCTAGAAGTACAGTTTAACCTGCAGATCATGTGTCTTCAAGGCAAACGATTTTTCTGCATAGCATTTGGATTGCATTTTGCAAAAAGGAACCACTAGCATTGCAATGATGCTAAGATTGTGCAACTTCATCTTTTGCAATAAAATTGCGGAAATCGTGGAAAAACTATGAAATTTAGATGGTAATTTTTGGCTTAAATTTACAGTTTTTAGTGAGTAAAATAGAAACTATTAATGGATAATCAGGTTTTTCCTCCAAGACAAAAGAAGTTGCACAATCTTAGCAACATTGCAATGCTAGTGGTTCCTTTTTGCAAAATGCAATCCATTTATGGTTAGTGGAACTGCAATGCGACGTTGTAAGTCGGCAATCACATAACTTGTTTGCGGTATCTGAAAATCTCCGCCTCTGTTATTTTTTTAAAGGAGAACAAACTGACATCATTCCTTTAAGTATATGTAGAATTTTCTTCGCACAGAGAAGAAAAATCACGGCAGTTTTGAAGAATTGCCATTGAGTAGTTTCCTGATTAAAAAATAAAGTATGGCAGGAAGTTTGCGACAAAGCAAACCGAGCTTTGTGATTGCCGACCAACACCGTTGAATGTTCAATCATTCATCTTCTCTATGAAACAGGGTCAAGATAATGTAAGTAAAACCAGCATGCAGCTTGCTTGAAATATGAATACCTATATATTTTCCCCTTGATATTTGATAACTACAAAACAGAATAGAACAGCCTTCATCCGAAGCCAATGATTCAGAAATTCTTCTGAGGACTGAACAGTAATTTCTAATATTTTGAGCAGTTTTTTAAAAGTGACATGGTGCAACTTGGGAATACTTACTAGCTAAATCTTGAAAATGTGTTGCCAAAGGTATTAAATCTTTAATATGAAAAGTCAGTCAACTGACAACTATCCATGCTTCCTTTTGTCTGTGATTAATTCTACACTTTGCCATGATTTAAGAAATTTAGCTTAGCCAACTGCAAGCAAGCTTTTATTCCTGCAAGACCTAACACGCTTAGAAATAAACTCATGTTTAACCCTTGACGGCCCTCCGTCAGGTAGAGATCCAACAAAATTATTATCAAATTTCAGTCGGGTGTCAGGCCAGGCCCAATATAGTCTTCAAAAGCTCATTTCGTTTAATGTCGTCTAGCCCATTTGTTTGAAACTCGGTAGGAATTTTGTTGGGCCTCACTTGGCAGTCGATCGCATGAGGTAAGACACTTTTTCATAGGCCCCCTTAACTCACATCATTTTGTACTGCATTGTATGACAAAAAATATTAAAAATTATTTACAAAGTGGGGGAGTAGACAGTTACAATTAATTGTGACCACAAAGGTTTAAAAATGAATCTCTCGGCTCTAAAAGTGTCATACTCATTTTTTCCCCTTATTAGCATTTTTGAAATAAAATACTATTTACCTCCTTATTGTTTGCTCAGTTTTTTCTCTCTCTTAAGAATACCTTTTTTTTTCTGATTAACTGCATACCTGTTTAAATGAAAACATTTGAATGTCTATTTTTTTCATTTTAACTTCCACCTTGACCTTGACTTTGTAGGTATTAATTTTTGGCATATCTACTCCAGTCCTTTAAAGTACTCAATAAATTTTTTTAACGATTTTAACACAGTGTGATGATTGATCTCTTTTTAGATTGCAACAACACAAAACATCATGGCAGCAGTAGACCTCGGCTCCATTATTCAAGCAAAATTGAATGGCGGTGAACGCATCGTGATCGTATCCTTTTTAATGCTACCCTAGAATTATTTCATAGTAAATTTTTTAAAGAAACACAAAGAATTCTCTTGTCAATTTCCTAAATAAAAATGAAATCATTATTTATTTATCAAAGCAATTTAATTTAATTTTCAAAGCAATATATCAATCGCTTAATGTAATGAAGTTTGAAAATTTAGAAGATGACACATCAAACATTTTTAATTCCTCTCTTGATCTAAGAATTTTCCTAAATTTACTTATCGAAAAATTGATCAATTTTATCCAAGTTTTCTCTTCTTCTTTCTTTTCACTCAAAATTTCATCCGAAGTTCAGGCCTAGATTGTCCCTCAGATGTGGCTTTTTAAATTAAACCTAGGTGCACTCACACCCTGTCTAGTAGCAAATGTAGGCGCATTCCTACTGTATCTCTTCAAAATTTAATCTATCGCAGTGTATAAATTTACTGTTTGCGTAGAATAATTACACTCTGATACAATCAATGCCGAATCATGTAGACTAACTCTTTTTAACCCAGATGAAAACAAGTAATTTAGTCGTAGATACATTTCTGATTCTGCCAATCCATTGGGATGCCCTGAGGCCTTGAATTTCTCTTCAAGAAAGAACAGCAACTCAGTCTTGTTTTTACACAATTTGGTAGTACATTCCTTAACTTGTAAGTTGTCAGACGAGAGAGGCAAGTCTTATGCAAGATTGGGTTCGGAGATCAAGGATCCTCTCTCTCATCGAGAAAGACTCAAACTTTGCCCTGTTCATTTTTTCTTGTTCACAGTCTCCTCCTCAAACGTTTACTGATCTCTCTATTGAAAGGTTCTTGCCAATCGATTCTGAATTTCGTTGTGATATAGGTAAGATCCTAATTTACTGCCTGTACCGGGTCTATTAATGTCGTGAAAACCGAAGACTAGGGCAAAAATTTCTCCTTACAGCATCCATGTTGACCCTTAAAAAATTCCAAGTTGAAATTTTTTTGATAAAAAGTTTGGAAATGAACTCCTTATTTAGATATTAGTATGTATAGAGATAATTTGAAGAGAATAAACTAGCTGATGAAGTTCTTTTTTTTTAATTTCATGTTCGATCAGTGTTTACTATTATTGACATCAATATTCCAGTTAAAATCTATGGCTCTTCTTTTCCTTTTTGGTTTTTGTACAGCATAAATGAGGTTGAAGTAAGCACAGGGTTTTTTAGCGGAATTGTGAAAAGCACTCTTTGCTTGATTGGTCAAACAACAAATACATAATTCAAGAGGAAAAAATTGCTCAAATGTCATCTCTCACAATGGTGTTGATCCCGGTCTTAGAATTCTATCCTAGTTCCTTAGAGAGCCCAGCATATGAAAGTGAAAAAAATAATTTAGTGATCTGTCCTTCATCTGCATTAACGAAAGACTCCTTTTGTGTCTCCAGATTCTGGTGTTAAACAAAGTGATGGAACAGAGGTTTACTTCAACATCTCCTCTAAAAAAACTAAACTTCTATTTGAAATGAAGAAGGATCTGAAAACTAACTCATTTATCTCTGAGCTGGTGAAAGCTGTCGATGGTAAGTATTTTAAGTTATTAATTTTGAGGATAGGCAGGGTTTCTGGCGATCTGAGAAACCTGGAAAGTCAGGAATATACAGCAACCTTGAAAAGTCAGGGAATTTTGCATGTAGTGCATTGGCTCGGCCGGTGACTTCAGCCGGTGCCATCCGAAATAGTGCAATCTCAACTTTTAAATGCCTTTTAATATAATTCGAATCTCTAGAAGTGGAAATCCCATCCAAAGTTTAGCAAAATTCTGCATAATGAAAAGAAGATAAAATCTGAGTGAAAATTTTGTTCGAAAGTCTAGGAATTTTGAAATTTTTTAGTCCGAGGAAAGTAAGTGAATTGAAAAATGAAGAATTTATGGAAACCTTTTCAGGGTTTTTTTTAAAATTATGTACAAGTCGACTGTGTAAGTCGGCAATCACATAACTTGGTTTGCGACGTTGCAAACTTTTTGTCACACTTTATTTTTTAAACGGGAAACTACTCAACGGCAACTCTTTAAAACCGCCGTGATTTTTCTTCTCTGTGCGAAGAAAATTCTGCAAAAACTTTAAGGGATGATATCAATTTGTTCTCCTTTAAAAAAATAATATAGAGGTGGAGATTTTCAGACACCCCAAACGAGTTATGTGATTGCCGACTTACACCGTCGAAGTGTTGTTTTCTCAGCAAAATATCTTTATTTGTAGCCTGTTTGGTATGAAATGAAGCTCTTTTTTACCACAGAGATTTGCAATTTAAGTACCTTTTTTAATGTAAAATGCAAGAATCCCAAGTGCCAATAACGCTTTTAAAGTTAAAGCTGTAATGAAAAAAATTGCCTACATTTTGGAGAGAATCCACCTCTATGTCTAGTCAAAATTTCTATGGAGAACCAATGCATTAGCAGAGTTGCCACTTTGCATGGGAAAATGCACTGAAATTACAAATTCCTGGGAAACGCAAGAACGCCATTGGTAGAGAGAAGTTTTCAATTTCCTTTAATATGGCCTCTAAAGCAGTGAGGTCACAACTGTCCAAATATTAAAAGTGAAACTCCCAAACCATGTATCTCAGTTTACTACGTTGCAGACTTCTTGTTTTATTTTAATTTTTGAATGATAAGCTACTTGACGTCAATTCTTCGAAACTTCTACAATTTTTCCTCTCAAAGCAAAGAAAATTCTGTAAAAACTTCAAGAAATTATATTGATTTGTTCTCTCTTAAGAAAATTAAATAGGAGCAGAGATTTTTAATCACCGCAAGAGAGATATGTGGGAGCTTCAGTGTCAATATTTTTAGCTCTGTTGTTTTTTCTCACTGTTTTCGTCCCCTTCTTATGACTTTGATCATTCAACATAGTAAGTTTAGGCTCCCTAAAAATTTTATTATAGTTGCTCTCTTCAAATGACAGGTTCTCTTGTTGTTGTTTCATGTTATACTTGGTTTTGTTTATCCTTTTGGAATTATGTTTCATTTTTATGGAGTTTAACAATTATTTTTTTGTGTGTATGTGATGGGGAGGGGGGGCTTAGAGTAATTTGCAAATTGTTTTTCCTTTCCCCGAATCTATTTCGTTTTTTCGAATACGTATCATTCATTGAGTTGATAATTTAAATAGGTAGTGAATATGAAGATAACTTTTTTGGTTATATTAGGCATTAGGTATTTTTATATTAGTTCAATCAAACCATAGCTCGTGAAAACGAATGTCTCGAACTTGCGAAAAAAACCTCCCCATGTCAGGCAGAGATCAACCTACTCCGTGTGCACTTTTCGTTGGAACTCAACGAACTTGAGCCAATGAACAAATCCTTTGTCCAAAAAAATGTGTCTATTTTAAGTGTTGGATTCTAAGTTTAACTTAAAATTGTTTTTTCTTTTAGCCTCTACAAAAAGGAGAATGCAGCAACAAGACTTTTTGTGGTTGAACAAGTATCAAAAAAAATCCGGAAGTTCTCAGGATGTCAGCAGCCATGACTATGAAGCCAATCATGCTGGGGACTCGGTAAGTCACTAAATCATTCTGTTCTAGATCTGGATCTTCTTTCTGTTTAATGCGGTCCATTGGTGAATTTAGTTGTTCACGTTGACTCAGTGCTACAGAATTAGCCTAAAGGTGATGAAAATCAATGACTTTGCTTCAAACTTAGGGGAAAATTTTAGTTTTTCTCAAAAAATCTGAAAAAAACTGAGGTATGACATAATCAACAGGCGACAGATGACATTACCATCTGGAATTTTTTAAAAAATCATTGAAATTCTTGGAAATGAAGACATTAAAGACTTCTCCGTGGCATGGACGAAAAGGAGCACTTTTCTTTTTGATGAAAGCTTCTTATCTTGAATAAATGAAAGGAAATATTAGTGGTACATCGCTTTATTCTGTTTGTAAATTGTTCTGATGGTGAAACCATGTATCCTGGTTCTCAATATTGCAGATTTTCTGTCAGATTTTTTTTTTATGAATAATGACGTATCACAGTTAACATGCTTATCTACCCAACTGATTTTTCTTAATTTTTTAGTAAAACCTTGCATGCACGAAATTGCAAGTAAAATTTCCAAAGAAACAAAAAATTAAGCAAGAGCAAAATTTTCAACAATTGCAATCAAGATTTGAGATACATATTGTTATAGTTTCTGTCAATGTTTGTAGAATTATGTTGCATGATATATCATTGTTCACAATTTTCAAATATTATTGAACATTGCTTGAATTTTTAACAAAGAATACTCCAAAAAAAACTTCACAGTTTAAAGACTATTTTAATCCTCAATAAAAGTCTTTATTCGTAATTCAGCCTCAAGGCTATTTACACTAATCATAAATAAACGTAATACATAATCAAGCATGATTTATTCCAAAATTCAACAATGTTGAGTGAAAACTAGTAGCATCAAAATTAGCATCAACACATAAAATTGTAATAGCATAATTTCACAGATGGCGGGTCAATAGTAATTATTTTAAAGAATAGCGATAGCATTCTTGTCAAGCTTTTTCGAGGACATGTCTAAATTTTATAAGCTCATTTTTTAAAATATTATCCATAGATCTTTCTGCAGTTTATTGAACAGTTTTATCGCAAGGTATTGAGATGATCGTTTCCTCTCCAAGACAAACAATTTTTATTTTTTATAAATACTCTGTCTTCTGTAACTGAAATTTATCACAATTTTTTCTTCTTTCTGCGACAGCTACAGCTTGATAGCCCAGATATTGTTGTACCAAGACACAGTATTGCTCAAGGTGCTACGCCTATTGCTGCACGAGAAACTGTCATCAGATATCAAATGTCAATGCGAGAAGATGACTATACTTATACAGAAGTTATACGGTGAGTGTCAATAATTTTCCCTAATCACACTTTACACCAATTACAGCTACTGGTGGAACACATCCGTACCCCTCCTGATTAGCAGGCTCATAGTCAATCGCCCAATTTGAAGATTTATCAGATCTGACTCCGAAATATTCCATTTCACCGATTTCAGCAAGAAGCTCTACATACCGGAACCAATTAGAAATAAAGGAACCATCAACCCCAACGATATTTTTCTGGACTTTATGTCCGAACACCCTAATGCTATGTTCCTGTTCACTGACGGAAGTAAGACTGACACCTTCACAACATCAGCTGTGCAAATCTAGCCCTACTTCCAAAACAGACAAAACAGCACACATCGAAAGCTTACCGACCCATTTGTATGTTAAAATCCATGGCGAAAATATTTGAGTTCATACTAAATTCCCGACTTATCCAATCTTTTACACCAATTACAGCTCAATTTGGTTTTCGTAAAGGAAAGAACACAACGGACGCCATTACAAGGATAAAGAAGATATATGAACATCATACTAAGAATAACAACACGCAAAGACGCCCTCTCCTGTTACTAAACCTAGATATAAAGAACGCTTTCAACAGCGTCAGTTGGCAGGATATCATAGAGACGATGTATAAACGAAAAATTCCCTTATATACAATAGAAACAATGAAATCATACCTTAGTAACAGATTCCTTGTCTTCTCAGATTTCATAATCAAACTTGCGGCCCAGGGAGGATGCTTATCTCCTACAATATGGTTACTAATATTTGACGAGATACTAAACCTGAATACTACACCAGAAATTTGCAAACAAGCCTACGCAAATGATACGTTATTGATAATAACCGGCACGAACATGCAAGAAATTCAAATAACGACTAAAATAGTCACAGAGCAGATCAAACAAGAACTAAAAAAGAAAGATCTAATCACGGAAGATAGGAAAACTGAAGCTCTGTTATTACACGGACCAAGAAAAGCGGGAGAAATAGATCTCTTAATCGGCAAAGCGCAAATCACAGCAGGCCCATCTCTGACTTCCCTCGGATTCAAAATTACAAGGGCAATTAGGATGAACCTGCATATCAAAGCATCGTGTGAAAAAGCGAAAAAAGTAGCCAATCATTTTCGCCCTTTACTCCCGAACTTGCACGGTCCAACCCTCATGCGGAGAAAATTAATGATCCACGCAGTATTGTCAATAATATTCTATGGAGTCACCACCTGGGCAGCTGACTGTAATACAAAAAAGAATAGAGAAGAAATAAGAAAGACACTGAAATCTCTGAAACTAGCTTTATGTTGTGCTTACAGAACAACTTCGGATTTTTGTTTAAATGTGATATCTGGAATTCCATCTGAAACCATCCTAATAAAAGAAAAAATAAGCAAATATAATAAAGAAGACCCTGAGGAGATTCAAAAATATAAAATAGCAAGATGGACCCTGGAATGGGAATCTTCTCCAAACAAATGGATAAAGAGACTTATCCCTGAGCTCCATCTATGGATTAAAAGAAGACACGGACAACCCGACTTTTTCTTAACCCAATTCCTAACCGGCCACGGGGCATTCGCAGATTACTTATACAAATTCAAGAAAAGACACAATCTACATTGTCCATATTGCACAAATGAAACAAAAGACACGTTTGTTTGATAGTAGAAGTTGCTAAATGAGACTGAAAAATAATTAACAGAAGGAAATGAAAAACACGTACAATTATACAATGGATGATTATCTAACACGTGAAAACATGCTTCAACTTGATTCAACCTTTTACTTGCTGCTCGATACGTTTTTCCTCCATTTCATATTAAATTTAGCGCTTATACAAATTTCTTCATAAGTAGCTTATGATGAAGGAACCACCAACATTAATAAGGATGAAAGTTCAAGTAATCAAGTCAGACCTTCAGCATGTAAAAAAATTGGCTGAATGGCCAAAACCACCTTTACCTTATTTTACCTATGTTTATTTATATACTTAAAAGCATTTCTATGCCCAACATCTTGAAAAATTAGGGAAAAGGTAATTGCCCCAAGGGGGAAAATCATACTCAAAATGAGTTTCTTTCCTCTGTAGCGAAAGTTTCTGTGTGATGCAGAGTTATGGCGTCACCTTGGCTGATCTATTTGATCATAAACCTGTGTCTCTTGACTGGTGCGTCTGTGGATTACCACGTCTGTCCACGAAAAGTCAATTTTTCTTTTTTCTCAAAAATCTTAAAAAGTCCGAAATTTTTTAAACTCTACAAAATTTATCATCGTGAGAATACATTGAGCCTCATCAGGCAAGATGCAGGATGTAAGATAGTTTTGTTATTTTCCAGCAATTGTATCGACACCAACTTCAGCAAAATCTGTATGCCCTTTCCTTTAAGTGATAAATGAAAGATTGTGATCTAATCTCTTTTTTCTGTATGAATAAAAGGTACCACAATTTAGACAATTTAAATTACAACTCAGTGAAGGCCTCCTCTTTCTGTATTCAGTCTGTATCAACTTTTTTTTTTTCAGAGTGTTCGTGGGAACTTGGAATGTTAATGGGCAGTCACCTACATGCAAGCTAAACCAGTGGCTTTCAGTTGAACCAGAACCTCCAGATATATATGCCGTGGGTTTCCAGGAATTAGATCTCAGCAAGGAAGCTTTTTTATTCAATGATACTCCTCGTGAAGAAGAATGGCAGTACGTTTCGCACCTATTAATCCTGTTTTTTTTCTTTATTTTTCGATTTTCAACCAAAAAACATTTTCATACTAAGTCTATTCTAGAAAGGGAGTGCCGTCTAATAAGCTGAACAGTGAGGTTCTCCGTACATTGTAACGCTCCCTTATCAGATCTCGATTTCCTTGCTCTTGCCTATGCATACGTGTCCTTTTTGTAAACTAGCCTAAAAGTGTAAATATGTAAATATTTAAGGATAAACTCTAATCTGGGGGTAATCCCCCAGATATTTCACTAGATATATATTCCCCACCGCGTATATATTCTATTTTAATAACTCTGTAAATAACCGGAACAATTATGAGAAAGTGCTTTGCCCACGAAATTGAACAATGCCCGATATGTAAATGTGCCGTTCATTCTAAAACAGACTTTGGATGTGACGTCTACACGTATTAAAACTGCTGAACTTGAAGCAGAGATAAATAGACTTCAATCTTTAACTTCCAAAAATACCTCTGGAGCATCTCTCTCTCTCTCCGCGTCTCGCAGAGATAGTGTTAAAAACAACCTTGCTAATCCAACTTCTAATGTGCAATCCTCGAACAACCCTACAATAATGACGGCATCTAATATGGACGAGGAATTGGTTTTCTTAAGGAACCAAAATGCTCAACTAATGAACCAAGTGCAACAACTTACCGCACAATTAAACACTATGCCGCTGCAAATTAGTGAATTGGAAACGTCGTTCTCCTTGCCTGGCTACATCATCAGAGCCTGCCAAAAATATCGTTTCAAACTGGTCTCATTTTTGGCATTTTCAAAACAGGGTTTCTTTGCCATTAAGGGTTAAAAAATAAACCTGCAAATGTATTTAAAAAATGGGTGCCTCCGACTCATTTAAAAAATAACAGTACAGTTTGTCAAAGTAGTTTGTTAGTGTGTGCTCCTATTCATGAAAACTTTCTTACTGCATTTTCACACCAGGAATGGTATTTTAAGTTTATAAAATAGTATCCAGCATAGTATAATCAAAAACAATGGTGCAGAAACTTAATGAAACTCACAGTCATATGTAAAGGCGTGTCTGCAGTGTAATAAAGAAGACATTTTTGGGCATGAGTGATTCATCAGCGCAAAATCTAGTCAATCAGCCCTGATTCTCTTACTCTTCTTTCAGGAATGCTGTCATCGCTGCTTTGCATCCCATGGGGCGATATCGAAAGGTTGCCCTAGTAAGATTGGTTGGCATGATGTTGCTTGTTTTCGCACAGGAACAGCATGCTCCCCACATTCGAGATGTTGCCACGGAAACGGTCGGCACTGGAATCATGGGGAAGCTGGTAACCATGAAAAAAATAATTCATCTTTAAATCTTATCTGTAGAATTAAGTCATCTTCTGTTCCTCTAAAAATATCTTACGTAAAATTCTCAAACTGTGTATCTGGGTCTGCGATGTTGGTGACCTCCAGTCATATTTTATCTTCTACATGGAAAATTACTCAACGTCAATTCTTTCAAAATTCTGTGATTTTTCTTCTCTTTGCAAAGACAATTTTGTGAAAACTCCTAGGAATGATGTTGACTCGTTCTCCTTCGAAAAATTAAAATGGGAGCAGAGATTTTAAATCACTGCAAATGAAATACATAGTTCGTTAGTTTTACCGTCGATATACAATTCACAATAAGAATCAAGTGTATACTTCATTGCTTTATAGTGGTCTAACTTTTTAAGAGACTGTAGCTGATCAGTAAGCCTAATTTCTTGGCAACAACCCTTTATGACAGTCATAATTAGCAACTTGTTGCGATACTATTTGAGATATAAGTGCCTCTTAATTTTATCTTCTTTAACCTTTTAAAATTTAGTTAGTTTTAAGATTGGAAAGTAATACCTAAATTGAAAACCGAAAACATCAATTATTCCAAGCTATGAAAGCCCTTACACATGCTTGCAAAGAAAGAAAATGAAAATCCTGCAGCATGCAAGCAATCATCAATGATAAAGTCAATCCATTTATTGATATGAAAAATTTGGACAGCCAGTGTATTGTGCCAAATGTCATTAGTAAAGGAACTACGCACTGAGTACAAGAAGTTTAGCACCAGTTAAAGCTTTCCTCTATCACCGATCAGATGTTGCAACATTTCTCCCAGGTATTGAATTTATAACAGTTGAAACATTCGTTTTTCAGCCCTGTTGAGGAATTTGGTACAAAGTAAGTTTTATTTTGGAAACTGATCCTGCTCTGGAGGCCATAAAGAACATCTTATCATACGATATCAAAATTTAGCTAACGTCAAAATTTTTGGTATTCCATGCCTCATCAAAAAAAAAAAAAAAAAAAACACCTTCCAGCAAGAGAGACAAAAGTTGAATTTAAAAAAAAAATCATGTGGTAGTATTTTTTTTCAATCTTAAGGTGATTCGTCAAGCTCAAGTGACGTGGTCGAACTGGCATGTGATATATCGCATCTTTTAGGTTAAAAATCTCGGCAGATTTTGAATTTTCAGCAAAAAAAAAGGACGATAGCCCCTGCGCTTGAGCCTGAAGAATCATTCTAAACCCAAAAATCGGCAAAATTCAGAGAAATGAAAGCAGGATAGTGTTTGGAAAAAAACCTCGCATTCGATACCGAAATCGATAGCTGAATCGAATGCGAGGTTTTTTTCCAATCACTATCCTGCTTTCATTTCTCTGAATTTTGCCGATTTTTGGATTTAAAATGATTCTTTAGGCTCATAGGCAGGGGCTATCGTCCTTTTTTGCTGAAAATTCAAAATCTGCCGAGATTTTTGACCTAAAAGATGCGATATATCGCATGCCAGTTCGACCATTTCTTTTGAGCTTGACGAATCACCTTAATCCCTTTCAAAATAGAAAAATTTAGCTCTGTGAAAAATTATGATCACTGAAGCGTAGTATTCATGTGCTACATGGCATAGATAGTGCTCAGCGGACACATTTTTTTCTGAAGAAACACATATAGGAGTTCATTGTTACTCCCAGAATTGTTCAGTCTGAAACGTTTTGAAATGAAGAAGTTTTCCACTTTTGATTTTTTGAACTTAACCGCAGGTTTTGTATTTTGTGAACAGGGTAATAAAGGAGGCGTTGCTGTCAGGTTTGATCTGCATAGCTCATCATTGTGTTTTGTCAATTCTCACTTAGCCGCTCATGTCGAAGAATTTGAGAGACGTAACCAAGACTATCATGATATCTGCTCGAGGATAAGTTTTTCAAAATTTCTACCACCAAAAAGCATCAAAGATCATGAGTAAGTAACTTTATGCTGGGGATACTGAAATTTCTTAGCCGACTCAATTTAAAAGTCTCACTCTCTCTTCTTTTTCGCTCCTCTCTCACGAATTGCAGGGTTTTTGCATTAATTATAACAAGCCGGTCTTCCATTTTTGAGACCCTTTTTTGCAGCTCTCTTATTTTTAAAATGTGTGTTTGGGGCTTTCCTATTTTCACACTCAACTAATTGCAATCTACCCGTTTCATATTTTCACATAGACTCTCACTAATCAATTAGTGAAAAAACTTTATTCTCCTGTGCCGTTGTTTTCTCTTTTTTAATGTCCTACCATTTAAATTTTGTTCCATTTTTCAGTCAGATTTATTGGTTGGGTGACTTGAACTACCGTATCACTGATATGGATGTCAATTTAGTGAAAAGTTACATAGAGAAAGAAAACTACAAAGCAATAATAGAATACGATCAATTAAAGCAACAACACAAAAAGGGAAATGTTTTCGTCAATTACAAAGAAGGAGAAATCAACTTTCGTCCCACATATAAGTACGACACTGGAACAGATGATTGGGACAGCAGGTAAGTTTGAAAAGGATCCCTTATCAGTTTATTTTTATTTTATTTTATTACATCATGTTTACTTTTATCTTGTCTGCGATTATGCACAGGAACAGATGTCTAGAGTCCACGCCAAATAAGCTTTTGCACTTTTAGACTTGACAGAAGGTCGTGGGCGTCACTTCAGCATTAAAAGTAAATGCAAGAATCAAGGTGGCGGACCTTCTTTTGCAAAGTCAGGAAAGTGCGATATTTCAATTCATTTTCTACGCTGTAGAAGCAAATTTTTTATTTGAGCTGTATAAATCTTCTAAATGTGATACAATTGTTGCCATTATTGTGGCAGCACAGCATGAATCAGAGTGGACCAATTACACAGAGCTGCCAAGTTGCATTTGTGTCAAGGGGCTCCACTGAATCCTGAAAATTACCATGATTTGCACCAACTATTGGTTTGGTGAACTTTGAAAACTAAAATCAGTTTAACAAGAAAAAGCGGTCCCACTGGATTGGATTCAGACAACTCATCCGATTAAAGTTGAAAATTCGCTGCAGAATACCTAATAGGAAACCATGAAAATTTCAGATATTGCAAGAAGTCCAAATGGAATTAACGAATTCTGCGATTAAACGGATCGATTTGTCAGTCCCATGAAATCCGGTCCTACTGTACATCACTGTTCAAATCCAAATGAATGGGTCAGTTGTGCTGGTATAACACATCACTGTTCAAATCCAAATGAATGAGTCAGTTGCGCTGGTAAAAAAATCGTGTTTTGATGCTTGATTCTTGTAGATTAGCAAAAAATAATAAAATCCGTCTAAACCGCAACTTTCTATATTCAATATTAACAGAGATATCGCCCTTTGAAAAGTCGGGTTTTTGATGTCATCCACCACGGTAGTCCCTAGTCTCTTCCACCTATTTATAATCAGTCGGTGTGACGCAAATGTGCACTGGTTGCTTAACGTTAAACTCGAATGAAGGCAAGGTGGAAGATACCAAGGGTGTCACTACCGCGGTGGATGACGTCAAAAACCCGACTTTTCAAAGGGTGATATCTCGGTTAATATTGAATGTAGGAAGTTGCGGTTTGAACAGATTGTACTATTTATGGCTAATCTACACAAATTAAGCATCAAAACACGATTGTGTGACCAGCAACGGACCCATTACTGCAGCATTTCAAAAAATTAGTTTCTTTAAAAAGACTCCATATAAAATATTTTTTCATCTGCATATCATGTACATTAAAATTACCTTTTTCTTCGCTTTTTAGTGAGAAGAATCGAGCTCCCGCATGGTGTGATCGAGTTTTGTGGAAAGGTGATGCCATTCATCAGTTGAGTTACCAGAGTCATCCTTCCTTGAGAATAAGCGATCATAAGCCAGTCAGCGCTGTTTTCAACTCTGAGGTACTTTTATCTCTGTATTTTTATCTGCGATGTTTGCTTACTGGCTTATCAAGGATCCTTCTAATTGATTTCACAAAGCTGAAATATCTTTAAAAAAGTTGAAATCAAAAGGCTCATAATTACTCTGCTACACTAAAGAAAAAACGCTGTATGAAAATTCGAATGTTGGCACATTTGCAGCGATTACTTATTTATTTTTGAGGAGAGTTAAAAGTATGTTTCCTTGAAATTTTCAGGTAATTAAGGTCCAATTGCAAATAAAATTCCATGAAAAATAAGAGGAATCTACTCACATGTTTTCTATAAAATTCATCTTTCATCAAAGAAAATTTGGCAACATTCCAAGGCTCATACAACGCTCTTCCTTAGCACGGCAATACTATCTATAGCTCTTTTTAAAAAGCTATTCAGATTTTAATTTTCTAAGTTTCATAATGGACCACTAGACAAGGTAAGAATTTAAGCAATCTGATACATGTTCTTTAACCAGAATTTCACGTCGAACTTGATTCGCACAACGAAAATTACTGAAACCAACTCCTAACAAAGATATTAACGTTGGTTACGAGAAATTTGAATTGCCCACTCATAAGAAACTCATAGCTCCACGTGAGTCATAGCGCGCACTACAACGGTTTCAGCAAGCTTCTCAATCGAGCGATGTTCATCTCCCACCATGTGTTGTTCAAACTATTAGCAATTTGCTATAGCTGAGCCAAAGCGTCAAGATTGAGGTTGTCAGATTTTTGTATTGCAGAGATTCATGGTAACATTTAGCGCGCGATGTGAATCACGTAGAGCATTGAGTTTTCATGAGTGGGTGGTTTGAATTCACACATCAAGAATCATTAAATATCTTCATAAGGAGTTAATTTTGACAATTTTGATCGTTTGAATTGTGTTCTATGTTAAATTTTAGTTACAAAACTTGTATCAGAATGGTGAAATTCGTACCTTGTCTAGTGGTCCATTAAATTAAAGGGATTTTTCAAAATAAAAATTCATAATGCTTACAATTAGCCTGTGCTCAAAAACATAAGAAAAATATTATATTTCCTGTGAAGTTTGAACAAGAGGAATCAATATAAATCCAGGAAATAAATTCGTTGAATAGTCAAACCCTTTTAAAATTTATTGTAATTAAAAATTCCAACTTTGATTCCCTCCTGCCTTCCTTATATTTCATGTTACTTAGCTAGGGGTCTAAGCGTCCTTTTCTGGGAAAATTAGTGGAAATTTCCGGCTAAAATCTACTTTTCTGGGAAATTTTGGTCGAAAAACAAGCACACATTCACACAGTAATCACACACTAACCTTAACCAGCCTGTGGGAAGACTCCTAGAAATTTCAGTTCTCATTTCCTGGCACTCGATTTTTCGATTCTTTTAACAGACCTCCCATACTGACACCAAGGAGCACAAAATTGTTATTTTAAAGTCTTTTAAACCTTTATCTCTAGTCAAAGAGACGCACTGATTTTATGGCTGTTCAGTATTTAAGACATTTTTTATCATTAGAATTAATCTAGTTATCAGTTTTGATCATGAATGGTGATTGACGGTGTTCTTCGATGTTGCCATGTTTTCATTACGTCAGTTGAGCGGACCGACCAATCACCAATCACCACTTTTATCATCTGATGTCTGGGTGTGGGCTGTGTATAAAAGAGTTTTTCAGCCTATTCTCATGGTCTGTAATTTGTCTTCCTCCTTAAGGAACTTAACATAGTTGCGTCAAATCTCCTTTAATTTTGGACTATTTCAATCGCTTGACCATTACAATAACTTGGAAATTTAAATTAGGAGGACTTCAGGAACAAATTCCCTCATTGGTGAATTTTTTATGTTCAGATTTTAGTGTTTATTTTGTGTCTCCTTCAAATACTTTTACAGAGGCTAATTTACTTCGAGCTTGAATAGCTCACATTATTTCCCTTTGATCACAATAATCAACCTCTGAGTACTTAAATTTTTCTTTTTGTTTTCATTTTATCCTTTTTTTCTTTACCATAAAAATGGAACCTACCATAAAAATGGTACCCACCACAAAAATGGTACCTACCATAAAAATTTGGATAGTCTATAAGCATCATGTCTATATGAAGAGCGCAAGCAAGTATGAAGAACTAACAGAATGAATTATGGCTTTCTTTTTTTCAGTTTATTAACTTGAATTAGCTTAAAAAATAGATAGTTCAATTTCTCACATCACTTCTAACTTACATTTTACACTCAGTAATTTTCAGATTTTTGTTTTGTCTTGTCCTTCCAGATTAGATTTATCGATGCCCAAAAATACCGAAAGATTCACGAAGAAGTCATGAAAAAGTTAGACAAACTAGAGAATGAATTCTTGCCGCAAGTAACTGTAGAACAAACTGAAATTGTTTTCAATTCAGTCAGATTTATGGAACCTCAAACAAAAGAGTTAATCATCGCCAACAACGGACAAGTGCCGGTACAATTCGAATTCATCAAGAAACTAGACGAAGGCCATTACTGCAAAGACTGGCTCAACATTGAACCTTTCATGGGTTTCATCATGACTGGTGGGTATTCCCTTTATTTATTTGTTAATATCAGCAGTCGAAGATGAATTTTATTGTCGACCGTCGAAAATAAAGCAATTTTAATTTATTTTGCTCACAGTCAAATTTTATTTTTTATTTTGTCTAAAATAGGTGTCTGAAATAGGTGTCTAAAATAGGTATTTTATGCAATAATTTCAAACATGAATAGTGCACCCCTTTACGTTTACATATGCTTTATGTACTCTTTACCAAAAAAATTGAAAATGGTCGACAAAGGTGAAAAAATATTGGTCTAATTAATAGTGCAATCCTTTGATCTCTGATAAGTCATCATCCTCTGTCATGAGCTTATTCAATTAGAGTGAACCACCAGACAAGGTACAAATTCAAACATTCTGATGTATGTATCCTCTTCAAAATTTCATGTTGAACACGATTTGGAGGACAAAAATGTTTGACATTTACTCCCACCAAGATATTAACGTTTTTATTTAGCATTGATAACACCAAAATTGAATTTCTGCTCACAAGAAAAACCAGAGTATACATGAATCAAATTGCGCCCTACAAAGATTCTAGTAGGCAAGGAACCACTGTTTCTGACCCATTTTAGAAACGACATACATGCCATTGGTTTCCCTATGCAGATACATGCTTTCATGGGAGAGCCAGGAATAGTGGTTCCTTATTGTGAAATGTAATCCAATTGAGCAGTGTTCGTGCCTATCCTGTATTTTTCAAAGTGTAAACAATTTGCAATAGCTGAGCTGAAGTGCAGAGATTGAGGTTATTAAATTTTTATGCATATTTATTATATTTTCAACATTTAGTGTGTGGTTTAACTCAAAAATAGTATGGTTCTTTTCATGAGCGGAAGTTTGAATTTATGCATTGAAAAACGTTAACATTTTTATTAGGGGTTATTTACTTTCAATAATTGTCGTTCCACAAATGGACTGCATTTTGCAATTTGGACCTATAAATTCCAGCCCGGTTTAAAAACAACGTATGTGCTATTAGTTTCCCTAAGTACATAAGTGTTTTTTCAGATAAGCCAGAATTTATAGGTCCAAATTGCAAAATGCAGTCCAAATCATGTTCTGCATGAAAGAAAATTTTGAAGAGAAAACGTGTATCATAATGCTTAAATTCACACCTTGTCTGGTGGTCTGTTAAACCTCCTGCAGTGAAATCTTTTTCAAAATAAAGCGGAATGAAACTTTCTCTTCTGCTTTTCAACTATTGGTGCTTATTTTGGTTTTTTTATCATTTCATATTTTCAGGGGAGAAATGCGACATCAAATTAGAGATCTACGTGGATAAACAATCTGCGTCAAAATTGAATGCTGGTCAAGACAAACTCTCGGATATTTTAGTTCTGCATTTAAAAGGTGGGAAGGATATTTTCATCACGGTGACAGGCTCTTATGAACGTAGTTGTTTCGGCTCTTCCCTAGAAGCCCTGGCCAGGATATCTGTTCCTGTCAAAGAAATCCCGGCTGAAAGGCTCAAAGAATTGGTATGTTGTTGCAGCCTTTTAGACCTTATCTTATTTAAAGTTATCGTTTCATCTGCTGCTGCAGGTTTATTTTCCTTCCTTTTTTTTCTGTAGTAGCCACACGTTTGAACCAGTCAATGTTAAGACTTAGCTTGTTCAAAAAATTGAAGAATTAGGTTTTTGGGGGAAAACTCATTTATGAGAGAACTTTCATTGTCCTTGCAAAACTTACACAAAAACTCTAAAAATTAAATGTTTTGACAACACTGCAGTGGTTTGGCATTGTCGGGGAGTGGATTTCTGTATGGGCCATGATTAGCAAATAGTCTAATGAGTCTCGAAGCTCATCACAAATTGCATTTACGGCTATTCTCGCTTTTCTAACAATAGTGCCATCATTCTCAAGAAAATACCATTACATACAGATCTTCAGAGACGCTGTTTTCAACCAAATGGAGGAGTGATGTTCACATTCGAGGGTGGCTGTATATTTTTAAATTGGCAGGGCACAGTTTTATAAGTATTAAAAAGAAACTAAATAATGGAGCCTGTTTATCACTAGGATTTACAGTAAGTAAATCCCCAGAGAACAGAAAATCCATCAACCTAAAAGATTGAAGCATCAGTAACTTTTTTACAAGCTCTCAGACAAGATTCAGAACGAGCCCGCCAGTCACTTTCCGGTAAGCAACTCAGGCACTTGACACATTGTATCGAGTAGGGGGTCAAAACGATTGCAAAGGCAGTATACTACGTATACAAGCCAAAAACTGTTCAAACGGTACACACCCAGCACTTTGTCGGACGCATCCGTAGTCGCTTGATCCATCTGGATTTTAAGGCATTTCTTAAGATGTGTTTTTTTTTCTTTATCGGGTTGCACTTGTATCATGGTACTCACATTGAATTTTTTTATGAGTTGAATGCTGTAATATTTCTGCACATGAGTCGGAAAAAATGAGGAAGAACAGTAGAAAATGTAAAAGATAAAATTGTTAATTGATAGTGATTAATAATTACGCGTTACACAACACGCCATTTAAAAACTGCAACATTGATAATTAAGGATCATGGCTGGAAAAAAAAGCTTTGAATGATTTTGACATAGCTAACAACACTGGTGCACATTGCTGATTAATTGGAACTGCACAGCAAAGATATGGGAGTTTTACTCTGACCTATATTTGCAACAACAAATAGTTATGGAGCAACCCCGATAAATTTTCTGTACAGTTCCAATGATGCCGGTGCATATTATTAATTTGGGTAAGAGGTATGAACTCATCCAACTTTCTTTTCCAGTGTATAATTAGGAAGTCCTAACACCATTTAAAACATTCTGGTATGTTAAGAGGATTTATTGTTATCAATGAAAGAAGTTTTCAAAAAATACAATAATAACAGAAAGTGATTCATCTTAAATGAAACCATCACTCGCTGCAAGACTACAAAAAGCGAAGTGGTTTCAATTGAGTACTAATTACCACGCATGATGGTGAGAAAAAGTGGATACTCAGTCTTACTCCAGCACACCATTATTATGAAGAACGCTGACCAATAAATCTTAACGTATGAGTTACTTCCTTACTTTTGTACACGGTCGTTAATGGACTTCACAATGTCCCTTGACGCATTACTAGAAATAAGACAAACAAACGACAAACAACATGGAAAAAGAGCAAAGGAAAGGACAGGTGCTGGTATCGGCGCAGAGATATGACTTTTCGTGCTTTGTGGATGTACAAGTTGCATCTGCAAAATTGGAGGCGTGCATTTAAACGAAGAATGAATTTAAGCACTGCACAGCATGTTTTCTTTTCAACTTGTCACGAAGAAAACTAATCATACAACAAACGCTCTGGGGCTCAACATATAATAAATGTACAAAAGCTCATTATTAAGAAGGTCAAAAATACAAATGACGTCATTAGTATAATCTTACTTCCATTTGATGTGTTGAAAATACTTGATTATATCGCTCAGGAGTAGATTTTTGAACTGCTCATCTGCTTTAACTGCTGGGGTGAGAATCGCTCTCTACATGAGATTTTGAAGATCATGAACATATGATAGTTCTTTTTTTGGTGCAGTCCTGGTCATGGGTGGAACTAGGAATTTTTTGTTGGCGGCCCCGAAGGATATAGAACTAGGCTAAAGGGGGGTTAGGGGGGAGAGGGCCCACACAAAATTTTGGAAAATTGGGCCTTCTGAAGAGGCATTGACACGGCTTGGCTTCGACATAAAACATAAAGGAACAAGAAACTGAAAAAAGTAAACATGCAGAAAACAGTAGTGCTACAGATGGCCCACATATTATTCGAAAAGTCGTGCATTGAAGCGATGGCCTTAGAGGTATTGTTTACTTCCGGCAATTGGCTGGGAAAGGAACGGTTTTTTTAGACAAGCATATAACTTATATTGTAACAATATGAAATATAAACTTCAGGGGAACAACTACGGGAACATTAGGTCATTTGTTTATGTGTCATTGCAAAGTGAAGATTTTGAGGGAAACTTGTCTTATCTCCGTGCTGAAAGTAAAAAACAAAGTGAAAAGACTTAACAATTTTAAATTTTCTTTTAAAGAATATTTTTTTCGTTTCACGAATCCTATCATCAAATATGTGGTGACAAGTGCGTCAATATCCTCATTATTTGTATAAATTTTATTCTATGCCAAAATTCGATCTTTCAAATGCTGTGCAGAATTTTCTTTGAAGATTGTTCCATAGTCTTCGTATATATTTCACAGTGGCCGAATGCTGAAAATAATTGGTCAGAATTTCTCCTAGAAAAACTAGAAAACTTAAGAACAATCCAACCACAAGACTGATGAATGCCGATTGTAAATCATTTAGATCGAAGGCATGTGGTTCCTTCCCGTACATTACCGTGCGCTCTGCAAACCATGCTTCATCGGGGTTAAAACCTTTTAAAATACGTTCAACATGCCCAGTTTCAAGTAATTGAGCCGCAAGCTCATTCCATTTTTCAAAGTAGAAAGAGCCCTTCATAAAGATGTCCATTGAAGGATACCTCAACAGACATTCTTCCACCATATGATAATCAAGCGATTCATTTAGTGGGTAGTGTTGCATGCGAAGATTATCTTTGGGCGCTGATGAGAAAGGTACAAGCACTGTAAAAGCATCTGTCTCTGCTATGGAACGTATATTTTTGGCAGCAACTTCAATCGAATCAGCAAAAACATTATTAATAATCCAAAGACCACTTTCATTATCAAAAACCATGGCCTCATCAGATACTCGATACATGTAAAACATCATATTGTCAACCAATTTTGCCTTCAGTCCTTCACTTAGATTTAATTGACCAAAAAGGGCCATTGCTTCGGATTTAGTGGTCCAAAGATTTTGAATGAAAAGATCTGACTTTTCCAAAGTTTTCAAAGAGTCAATTTCTGGATACAAAACTCTGTCACTTAGAAGCGTTGTCATGCCACTTAAAAACAACGTACAGATGATTAAAGCAGAGAAACTGAAGATCAAGAAAAGTATTTTCCCGGTGAAGAGACGGCCGAGATGTAATGACGGTGGGCTCCCACAAATGAAATATGCGTAGACAGTCAACAGAGACGAGGAATCTCTGTAATAGTCAATCTCTACATCTGAGTAGAGGCAACGGAATATCTCACTCTGCGAATGCTGGAAACATTTCTGGATGATGCAGAACATGACGATTGTAACCGCGACAAAACCCCAGACAATCGGTGTGAAACCTTGGAAAATCACCAGACCTTGCGGCATGTAAGCACTGTGTGGAGTGGCAATACATAAAGCGTTGGTATCAGTGCTGATCGAAAAATCGTACTTTGAGTAATCAACTATTTCTGGAAGGATTTCACTTCTGTAGGATATCATATCGATGCCAAACTTCAGATGCTCGTCTGCCTCAAAATGCGTTTTGAAAGAATCTAGAGACAGCCAACTGCGATCATTTACTTTACAGTTCACAGACTGTTCAAAGAGAGACATAATTTCCGCTTCAACATTTAATGAGGCACTCTTGATTGGATATGACAACGCTTCTGCTGAGGTGTCTCTATCATTAAGAGGGCTCATGAACAGGTTCATTGATTTTTTATGCATGTTTTTCCACGAGAATTCAAAAAACATATCATCAGTTTCGCCTTGGTACGAAATGATATTATCCGCAAATGCATCATACTTCTTGCAGCCGTCTGAATAACAAATAATTGTCCTTCGGCCTTTGAAAAAGCGCCAAAAAAATTTGAAACAAAAAAGCAGGCTATCCGACAAACCTCTCTCAGAATTTATACCAGGTGTTTGACTAGGAGAAGCTTTCACCATTGATTTCCTGGAATCGCAGTCGCACTGTTTTAATATGAAAATCAGATGATTTTTGAAATTCCAAATTATGTGAGAGTGCAAACTACGAGTCGCATTGAATAGCGAATCACTCAAAAATGAGGATCCTTTCAGTTCGGAGGATGAAATCTCTACATAAAAAGTACAGTTTTCGCCCTTTCCTGGCCAAAGATATCTTTGATCTATTTTTATACAAAAACGAGGTATTATTCTCTTTATCTTACATCCCATATCTATATTATTACCTCCGAGGTCCCTTGATATCTCCTGAGTCAACTGAGGCGACTCTGTTTGTGAGATTGTATAGAAAATCAGATCGAGCAGCTGATCCAGGTCATCCAATATAAATATCATGTTTTTGACATGATTGGTGACCACAGCACCGGTTATTTTGCTGGGGTGAGTTATTGAAATAGTCTGAATCGAGTTTTCATGTAAATTTTGAATCAAAGTCGGAAATGAGTCTTTTGAATAAATTTCTACCTTGTAAAATAATCCCAGCTCGGTTTTCTTTGCGATGTTTTTGCATACGCTCAGTGCTAATGAAGATAAGGAGTCCCACCTGTGATACGTATGGTCCGTAGAGTCCATTAGGTCTGTAGGAGGCTGAACACCAGAGGTAATGTAATTACGGGCTGCGACTAGTGTAATACACATCAGGCTAAAATGATGAAACTCGCACGTAACTGAAAACATCTTTCTGTGCTCTTCAAAACTGAGGAATATTAACAAACTAAAATGCCGAGTGTGCTATTAATCGGTTGGAAAGAATGTGAAACCCACGAAAAATGAGTCGATGAAAGAGTAGCTGCTAAAGTCTCCTCACTACAATTTACAATAATCATTCCCATGGGTGTATTTGGATGTGCCTTTTCACTTTGAAAAATGTTATAGTAAAAACGACGCAATAAATCCACTTTTAAATCTTGGTTGGAAGGATGACCTGAATAATTGTCCTTGGTTTTCATAAACAGGAAAACAGAAATATTTGCATTTCAATCCATCAAAATGCATTTAAATCGACGTTGATGTATGATTTATGCATCAGTAGTGAACTCCCAAACTACGTATCTTCTTTTTTGTAGGAGAACAAATCAATATATTTCCTCAAAGTTTTCAGTGAACTTTCTTTGCATTGAGATGACAAATTAAGGACGTTTTCAAGAACTGGCGTTTAGTAGTTTTTCATCTACAAAATGAAGTATGACAGGAAATCTGCAACGTAGCTAACGGAAATACGTGGTTTGAGAGTTTCACCGACGAAATAAATAGGTCTGATGGGTCTTTGATCTTTTTTGAAACATTGACGTGTGTTTCTTTCAGAATTTTTTACAAGAAAAATAAGATAGAAGGGGGTTGGGGAATACAGTTAAAATAATGACCAAATACTATGTACAAAGGAAATTAAGCCCACTCAGTGATTTGAGCATGCAAAAATTAGATCAATTGCCTATGATTCGTTGAGTGGCCAAAGTTCTGAAGGAAATATTTCTTATCTTCGGGACATATTTCTAAGCTAGAGGAAACAAATCAAGAGAAGAAAATGGAAATCCGCTCGCACAAGCTCTTAATAGTTTTGAATTTTTGTATGGAGAGTTATTTTTCGTTGCTTGACGTAAAAATTCGTAAATGGTTCAACTGTACCACCAGAAGCTCATAACAGCTAAGAAAATTGGAACAGCTTGCTTTCAACACGAATTCGGAATAATACTAAGACAAAAACACGTAGAGTAAATTCAGTCAGAACGAAAAAGGCAGGATATTTTTCTTTTTGCCTGTCAGAACGAAGCGAAGGTAGCAATACTAATGCGCGTAACTATTTGCGCTCCTAAGCCACTCATGTTGCCATTACGATGATAGAAGGCCAACTCCACAGAATCTGAGACACGCAACAAGAAAGATTTTTTCTTTCTGACCTTTTTGGTTTTGTTTATCGCACAAATGAAACTGTGAAACAAAAGTTTTTAGGCTGATGTAAAAATGAATTCAAAAAAACTTATTTCTAACTAAAATATAAAACTTTGGTTTAAAACTGAAGATTACATAATGTTAGACTCTTATTTCGAACAATGTACATGAAGGACGCCAACAAAATGACGTTCATTAAGACATAGTTACTAACAAGGAAGCATATCTTCTCGTTTTCCTTATGTTACACATGGTTCTTATGGACACTTTTCTCGTTACACATGGTTCTTATGGACACTTTTCTCGTTACACATGGTTCTTATGGACACTTTTCTCGTTACACATGGTTCTTATGGACACTTTTCTCGTTACACATGGTCTTCTATGGTTTCTTAGTTTTTGATGCCTAGTCCTTTGCTGATAAATTCAATAGAAATGAAACAGAATCTTCAAAATTTATCATGATTCACTCCATTCATTGGGTCTTTCATAGATGTTTCCAATTTTTTAACTAATTACTTGTATCGAAATTCTTAGGAGAACAACAAAGACGCATCCACGACAGAGCCTTTTCCGATTCCGAAAGAGATATGGTTCCTGGTTGACCACCTTTACCGTCATGGTTTGAAGCAGCAGCATCTTTTCGAACAGCCCGGACTCCACTCAGAGTTACTGCAGATTCGAGACTGGCTCGATAACGGATCTCCGGACCAAATTCCGGGGAGCATTCACTCTGTCGCAGAAGCGTTACTCTTGCTCCTAGAATCTACAGCCGAACCTGTCATTCCTTACAACCTCCATGATGTTTGTCTTAGTTCTTCTGTCAACTATATCCAGTGCAAACAGGTAAAATTTCCCTCCGTTTGGTCCAATTTCTTCGTTCGAGTCTTTTTGAAGGACTACGCACGATACCGAGAAATTCGGCGCTGGCTAAATTTCGAGATATTTTGATATGATGCTCCTTATAATCTCCGCAGTAAGATGAACGTCAAAATCCAACTTTCTAATCTCTAGAAAATTGGGTCTCAAAAGAGCATTTTTACACGTATTTTCAAAAAATAATTTTTACTAATTCAGAAAGATGTTGGTAATCAAGGAGCTACCTCCTCTTTCCTTGTCTCGGTCTGACCGGGAAGGTAAGACTTACTTAGCTTAAAACAAAAGGCTCTACATCTCTCGCATCTTCGATTCCGCGATGGTGCCACTACTTTGCACGATATCACATGTAAATTGCCGAAAAATACACTTTTCAGACCCGAGATTGGCATATGAAAAGCTTGATTGTAAAAGCTTACGTTACTCAAGGAAGAGTAAGGAATATCATAAAAAAAAAAAATCTTTAAATTTAGCTGGCACCGAATTTCTTTGTATTCTGTGCGTAGTACTTTGACTTTTTTCAGCGCTGTATTTTACAATGCCTTATCTTTGGTAAATTCAGCAGAAAAAAATTGGTGATAAAATATTTTCAATAGACTGCCAATTTAGGTGTGAATTAAAGTACTTTATCCAATTATTTTTTTTTTCGAAGTGTTTGAATGGAAACCATTAAACAAATTAGAAAGATCAAGATGTATTTTTAGCTCATGCTGACTTGGAGCTGAAATAGTGGGAAATCACATCATTCTATTGTGATTGAAAGGAGATTTAGGATAGTATTTCAGACACCATTTCTGAGTTCTTTTCAAACTAAAAGTATAAGTCCTTTTTTCAAGATCGTTCACTCTAAAAGCAAACTAACAGACACTGAAATTCGTAGTTGATGGGAGACGAAATGAGTCAATGACATTAATAATTATTTTTACCTCCAGTTTTTTCTCTCCAGCAAATGTAAAAAGAATGGAATTAACTCAGAGGACATGAGTGATATTTTTCTGATTTTCAAGAATATTCTTTGCAAATTTTGTGAAAAATTTCCCAGTCGTATTTGCTTGAACAAGTGATTTAGGTGTCAAGATTTTGAATCGTTGTAGATGAGATACATAATTTGTAGTTTTACTGTTGGTTTAGTCGAGCCTTGGTAACTCAAAGTTGAAAAAATTCGAGGTTTTAAATCATTGAGTTCTGAAACTCAAAAATTTTGATCATTGTTCCGGATGTTATTGCAAATTGAAATAAAAAATGAAAAAACGAATGTTTGGCCTCACGTCCAACCAGGGTTATTTTTAAAAAAATTCACATTTTTACTATTCGCCGCAGAATCAATTACCAACTGATATCTAAAATAAACTAACTTATCTGGCACGGCTTTGAGTTATTCAGGTCTTAATGAAATTTCTTCGAGACAACTAAACCTCCTTTGAGTCACTAAGGTAACCTGTCGCAAACTTCAAGTTACAAGGATAAAAATGAGACTTTTAAATTTGTAACTACAATTTAATTACAACATCAGTTGAAGTCGAATTCTTTGTAATACTGTGGTTATCTCCTCTGCGGTGGGGAACGGAAGGTTTCTTCCCAGTCTCTGGGGTTCTCGAGTCATCAAAGTTGGACTTAATTGAACTTTTCAGGCTGTTATTAGTGGTATTTGCTTGTTTCAGGTAATATCCCAGTTACCAGAACACAGTCGTAATGTATTTCTGTACCTGTGCACTTTCCTCCAAGAGCTTTTATCTCACTCGCATGAAAATGGTCTTGATGCCAAGACGATCGCCACTTTGTTCGGAGGGGTCTTCATTCGGGATCCACCACGCAGTCGGTCGGAAGCCCTCACCAAGAGTCGCTCGAACCAGCAAGCATTAGACCGGAAGAAGGCCAGTTTCGTCTACCACTTTCTAGTCAATGATCAGAGTGAATTCATTCTAGGTCATACCTTGTAGCTCTATTTCAACACAAAGCAGGCGTCTGTCTTCAGGTAATGAAATCGTCGCTTGCCTAACAAAAGGGCGCAAGTGTTTTTTGAGGTGAGCGCTGAAAGTATTGAAGTTGTCAAGTGTAGTTATGTCCCTATGTCAGTAGGGTGACAAAATTTTCATAGAAGTTATCTGATCGATTGAATCGAATATGTTCTTCCAGCTAGCATATCGACGGTCGAAAGGCAAAATCATGCATCTCCATTACGGTGATTTAAAATTTACACTCCTACTTAATTTTTCAAAGAGGAACAAGCCAACTTAATAACTCGAAATTTATATGAAAAATCAAGGAAGTTTTCAAGAAATTACGTTAACTAGTTTTCCAAGGTAAAAGTTAAGTATTATAGGAAGTCTGCAACGTCGCAAACGGAGATACGTGATTTCGCTTTTTGGCCATCAATATGTGTGATGCATTTCTAGATTGTCGTACCAAAATCAAGTTAATGAAGTAGAAAATGTTAAGCTCACATTAATTCTTGTTTATCTCGTGATTCTCATCAATCACCTAGAAAGCCGTAATAATTCAGCTGTGCAGGGTCGAGGTTGATTTGAGTACATGACCTTAAGAGTTTCCTCAGGGGTGCATAAAGTTCTTTGTCCTCACTTTCATTAGAGGCAGCCTCTTCATAGCTTTCCACAAAAGACTTTGGGCCTCACCACTTTCTTTGTATTAAAGAGCGCATTACACAGTTACTCTCTCTAAAAGTAACGCAGGTTGAAGTTTCCTTCTCAAAAAATAACACGTTTAGTAGTTCTCCTTGGGAAAACAAGCGCATTCTTATGAAGGAATATTACAAAAACTATGAAGTTAAATTTTGCATACCCTCTGTTCCACATTTTTTTACCTTTTTTCAGGTGTCTTCTCTTTTCTTTCGCAACTGGCTGGTCAGCCAGTCGAGCTTTTTCTGCACCCCTGAGTTTCTAATTAAATTTTTTGTTTGTTTGTTTATTTATTTTTTTCCATACTCTTGCCCATTTGGACTTTCGATTGTAGCCTCTCGACTCTTAATGATAGCAATAGTGCTCTTCGAATAATTAATTATCATTCACAGAATGTTAGGGCATCTGCAAAGTTTATCTTAAAAATTGTGTATCGACCATTTTTGGCTCATCGACTATGGTGCACTCGTCATTTGTGCAGATTGCATTCGAATCTGCAATGAGCTTTGTGCTTGGGTAGTTTCAATGCAAATCCGCCAGCCGGCAAAACCAGCGTGGAAGAAAAAATGTTATATTCCAAAGAGGAGTTAGAGGGAGAATCAGTGATTGCTGCTAATTGTTGAGTTTTACTTTTATTCTGTGAACAGTCCTTCACACTGTTATTTATTATCGTAGATCTAGTTTTTGTTCCAATTACTTATTTATTTTATTTTGTTACCGTACTTCACTCTGTGTATGATCTTTATTTTGTGTATATATCATGCATCAAGAATTTAGCGTCCTGTTTCAAGACTCCAAAAATGCTCAAATTTCTCATATGTTTCGACAAAGAATATTGTAAAAACATACAAAATTAACTTTAAAATTCTCTTTTTGAATGATTGTCAAGTTCTTTTGCAAATGTTTGAACTCTGAACCTTCAATTTTTCCGATTTCGTCTTCCTATTTTTTTTACCCCCAAGTTAAAAAGCAACCCAATCAAAGTAAGTTTTTTTAATGGGGGCAGACCTATAAGGGAACAAGGGTTGTATTTGCTTAGTTATCGGGTGGAAAATTGGAAGCACTTTATATTCAAATTGCTGGAAATGGGAAGGGGAGAGGTATTTTTTCAAAAGTCTTGAGGTGACAGGCCCTCAATACTGCCAATGGTCAAAACATTTCATACATTGAAAAATACTTGTCCCTGAAAAATCATGGATAGTTAATTCTTACCTGATTGTGTACGTAACATTTTTCATATTTTTTTAACCAGAATTTGTTGGCATTCGCAGTTTTGGAAGAAAATCTCCAATCTTTTGTACATCAAAATAGAAAAAAACGAAATCGGAGCTCTGAATTGTTTTCGTAATGAAAGAAGTTTTTTGGTGTAGAAATTTTCATGAGCCAACTGTTAGGGTTTTCATCTAGATACTTTTTGTTCTAGTTGTTATAATTAGTAATAGGATGTAAATAAAAATTATTGTAAATATTTATCGTAAAATTTTTCATTGAATTTTTTTTTTGTTTACAAGAGCTTGAAATAACAGGTACATCATAGATGTTCGCTATTTCAGTATGAAAACAGAGTAAAATTGATTGTACAGAAAAAAAAACATTATTTTATTCTCAGTAATTCAGCATTTTAGTCCAAGTGAATATTTCCATTGCATCTGAAGACCTCACAAAAAATTATTCCATTCTTCACAAATTGTCACATCGTCACCTTCCAGGCAAAGTATCACAAGCGCCATGCGACGTTTAAAAATTTCTGCCGCCATTTTATTTTTTTACTGAGAAATTGTTGGTTGAATCTGTTCGAAAATTTCACTAAATTTTATCGGCAGCACAAAGAAAATTCGGTGTAATTTTTGGACAGCTTCAATGAACAATTTCTCTGTAAAAAAATATAATGCCGGCGGAAATTTTTAAACGTCGCATGGCGCTTGTGATACTTTGCCTGGAAGGTGACGACATCTACTAACATTTTTCCCTATGATCTCAGTTCAGCTTTTTGTTATCAAACAATCATTTGACAATAACTTTTTCCATACTTTGTGAGTTAACAGAAAAATTGCATGGTTTTTTTTGCCACATTTTTGCATGGAGTCCGAATATAGAGAGCCTCAAAGAAAGTGCATCTGCTTGAGTCCTACTTTGAAGGTTGGCAGAAATGAACGAGCAACTTGTTGCAATGGTCGTTAACAAGGCATTTCACTAGCAACGCAGTTTGTTATTGAAAATTTTAAGGCGAATGCAATTGAGGCGCTGGGGTTGGGTGCAAGAAGCGCACTCCTAGATTGGGGCGTTTCAAAATCGTTGTTGTCAATGTATGTCTTAGACAAGAATCTAATGGAATTCTTTCTGTAGAGCAATGCAGAATCGTAAAGAACATTCAGTGAAGATTTCAGTGAAATGTATACATCCGTCTTCCTAAGAATAAATGAAATATTAGCAGAGATTCTGAAACACACCAACAGAGAAGCGTCTGTCTCGCACGCAGCCCCTCAATTCACATACCTAAAATTCTCCTGAAGGCTTAAAAATTCCAAGTAACTAGGGTATCTCTTTTATTTTTTGTAGCATTTTTATGAGAACATCTTTCCTTTTACACAACATTCTTCGGTTTTCAGAAGAGCATAATCGGCTGGAAACTAAAGTGAGAATTTGTCTTTTGATCTGAAACGTTTTTAAAGAAAGAGAATAATCATGGGGCTTTTGTTTTGCCTCCGGTCAAAGTTTTAGACCTCTTATTCTCTGTGATACATACTCATCGAGGCTTCTGAGAACTTTTCACTGCAGCCGAAAAACAGGAACCATTAAACCCAATTTCAATGGGTTATTTATTGCATAATCATAGGTTTACATCCGTGACTGATTAGTAAGTTACAATCGTCCAATAGTTGTCAGTATTCAAAAGTGCTTTATTCATTTTTAAGGTAAAAATTAGATTAGGCTTAGTATTTTGCGTATTTTTCACTCAAATATTTTGCACTGTTTTTCTTTTGTCTGTGTGTTCAGCCCGGTATTATTGACCTTTGAACTGGTGTGTAAGAGTATCTCATTCATGCAATCATAAGAGCCTCCTATTTCATTTTTAGAGACAGCGGCTTTAACATTAGTCGTAACTTTTTCATTCCTCAAATTGGATGTAAAGCAGAATCAGCCTAATTACATCAAAGGTTTTCTAATATCTTCATATGTATTATTTTTTCACAGAAAACCAAGCAACACTCCGGCTTGAAAATTTGTGAGTATATTTGTTAGGATCTAAGAAAACTTCATTTCATGCTTCAAAGTGTAGGTAAAAGAAAAAGAAGAAAAAACAAACGGGAAAGCTCTACTATGTAGGTATTGGAGAAGCGCTCAGCAGTTAGATTTTTCTGGAAAAAGTACAATACATAAGGCACACGAACACAAGGAAAAAATAAAATTGCTGATTTAACAATTCAATTGCTAAAAAAAAAGTGACCGTAATGTTTCAACATGATTTTACAACAAAAAAATTCTTCTTCAACTTCTATTGTAAGCTAATTTAACCAGGGGGGTGGTTAAAGTAGCATTTTTGTGTTGTGAAATCTACAGTGAAACATTGCAGTCACTTTTTTTTAGCAATTGAATTTTTAAATCACCAATTTCATTTTTTCCGTGCAAGATTGAAAGAAAAAGACGTCGCTCAAAGGCTGCGTTTTAGTAACGCAACAGCTGTGTCATATGGAGGCGAATTTTAACAGGTTCAGAAAAAGTCACCACCGGTGGCAAAAATTTTGGATGAAAAAAACTCAATACCTGGACTTACAGACATAATAATAAAATAACTATAAACTTCCCTGCAAAGAAAATGTTGGGAATGTTATTTATTTCATCTGCTAATTTATATGTAATAACGTTAAAAGGGGTATTATTAGCTAGTATAAAGAAAATCCTGAGAATCTTGTCGGATATGTTTTGTTGAGTTGGTGAGCCTTTCAATCGCTGGAGCGCTTTACCATAGAAGAACTCTAGTGGCAAAATGAAAACAAAAAGCGCCTGCCTATCGGCTGAGCGCTTGAAAGAACCTGAGATACAATCAGGCAAAGCGGAATGTAGTTAGGTTGATTCTGGTTTATGCTGTCCAATTCTCCCTTCCTACTTTTATTGAGCTCACCTGGCCATTGGAACGGCTTCTCTGAGTTGTCATAGTACTTATCTTAACCATGAACACCTTCGGTTGTCTTTTTTTTCTTTTTTTGTCAGTTTTATATGTTATTTTAAAATAATTATTGTTCAACCAACAAATTTTACAAAACTAATTTATTGAAATCAGATGTATTTGTAAGATTCAAATCCCTGCTAAAAAGACATTTTGTGTACTTAATATTACTATTTTAAACAGTACCTGTTTGAATATTGCTCGATTTAAGTCAGCAAAAATTGGTGATTGATGCTGGTGAAAGTTCTCAAGCACAGGTTTGAACCTAGAGGAGACAAAAGTGGGGTGAAAAATTTCCAAAATGACTTATGATCAAAATATTACTTTGTCCCTGCTGAAAGAAGAAAATTTTATCACAAAATATTTTTGGAATATGCATTAAAATCTTTTTAAGAGACTTAAAGTATTTCTACTGATTTTATGGTTCATTGATTGAATCACGATAACTCCATGCCAAGAATTTCAAATTATGGAGAAATAGATCATTTTCAATGATTTTCGAGTTCTATTTTCTTCTTTTTCTCTGTGGCCATAGTTGCCAAGGTACCGCTTTACAGTCAATGAATATAAATACTATTTCTTTCTTTTTTAATCAATATTTTTTTTCTTCTTTCTTTTTTTTTCTTTTTAAACACAGGATCCAAGAAGTTTTCATGGCATTTCTTACTTTATTTTGCGGAGATTCTTCCGCAGTAAGACTTTTCAGTCCAAGCTAGGAACCAATACATTTTTATTGTAAATTTGTGTTCGGATGACATTATGAATGCATAGATGATAAACAATTTTAAAAAATGTATTGAATAGTTTGTTTGATATTATTATTTTATAGAGGCTGTTGAATCAGACTTCTTTATTTTAAGACATGTGTGAAGTATTATTTCAAAAGAAATTGCATATCTTGTAGAAAGGGAAAGTATTTCAGTTGAGTTAAGGGGCTTGGAGAACAAGACGCATAAGTACAGTTTTGAAAAAATTAAGTTAATAATGATTTGAACTGAAACTAGTCTCAAAATATATTCTGTGAATTTTTTTTTCTCAAATTCCAATTTTTGAGCCTTGAAAAGTGAGATTGAACTTTCTTTTTGTCATAAAATTCCATGAAATTTTAAAACATAAAATGCGTATTTCTCGAAATAGTGTACACCTTGTTCTCCGAGCCCCTTATTTCTCTTTTCGTAAGTGTCACTTACATTTTGTGGTAATATTGTTAGTTTACATCCAAAAATCATCTGACATCATTTGTGATTTCATGGTTTTAGAATTTTTAATTTTAAATCTGTAGAGAAGAAACTGCACTCGCTGAATTGCAGGAAAAGGCTGAAGAGTCTACAATTTTACAAGACGTACTCTTGCTTATGAATTATCGTACTTTGTTTCTAGTTTCCATATCAATTGTTGTTCATTATGTTGAGATCCAATCGAGAGGAAGACTTCTGCAGCCATTTACTCTAAGAGCCATCTTAAAATTTTGAATATCAACTCTTTGGAAACAATCCAAAGATTAGCAATAAGAAATCGCAACTTTGAGAAGAAACTTTGTTAAGGTTTTAAAACAGTATCAGCATGAAAAGTCAGCTTTAGTGTCAATGAAAAAAAAAACTTCTCTATCATCCCCAAAATTGTAAACAATTTTTTATGATTGAATACATCTACATGTTCACTTAAATATTTACTGTTAAAAGTCATTCGTAATTAATCTTGAAACAAACAGCTGATACCTCTCAGCCAAACCAAAATGATGTTGGCGGACGTCGAACACTTATTATTTCACCTCAAACAAATTGCGATTTGATGCACGAGTTGTTCGGACAGTGTATATGATTTTGCCATGTTAATAATCTCAGTGTACAGCTTAAATTCTCTCTACAAGGGGAAAAAGTTCATTGGAGGACGATATTCCCCCATACAGAAACTTATTATTTTCTTTGAGATGCAAAGTTATGACTCAAAATTAGTTTTTAAATGGCTTAAGAAGGAATCAGCATCAAAAATAGAAAATGTAAAATTTTTACCTTTAATTCTGATTTTCTGCAGTCCTGAAATCAAATTTTCATTTTCTGTCCTTTTTTTCCTGATTATCGATTTATATGTCAGTTTCTAATTCATCATATGCTAACCATTCAAGCTGTTATTTTGATTTCATATTTGTACGTTCATGAAAAAAATAGCTCATTATATCAGAATGATACGTTCAAGAGTCCGCAGGTCTTACAACTGGACCCACTTACGAGTAATTACAATTATGATTTAATTTATCATATGCTTAATTGCACTTTAATTTCACAAAGATAATATTGTAATCGTACCC